ACTGTAGCGTAAAGGCAGAAGACGTTTTTGGGCAGTATAATTCACACTACAAGGTAACAATATAAAAACAATGGCCAAACGGGGATTTACTGTGTGCGTGAGTTACGAGCTCGTGGAGTTCTCCTTGTCCGTAGTAATATTAACAGCAGAACGGTCTGAAATAGAGATAACGTATTCTGTTACAGTTTATTGTAGGCACACGTGTTAGCAATATCAATAATAGCAATGGCAAGTCAAATGTTGGGCAAGGGGCATAACAAAAATAATAGTTATAGGTTCTCGGTGAGATGGTGGTTTCGGTCCCACCATACAGTTACCATACAAACAGGCTATTGTGTAACAACAAAGCCATCAAGCTGTTCTTGAATGTATACCATCAATTGCTTAGTCTCCACTCCGTTTATGCAATAGGGTGAGTGACAAGCTTCTACCGCTCACAATACAATGGCTACTGCTCTATTGCCAGAATTCAAACATTGGTACCTCATACGTCTATTGGGAAATTGGTTACTACAGTTTATAGTCGCTTTGCACCCGAAATATGCAAACATTGTATCCTGCCGTGACTTGGTATCGCATAGCACTTTGTAATTCTATAGCTTGCTCCGAAAACGCGCGTATCGATCTGCTTTGCGTACATGTGTGTGTGTCCTCACATACAGAAACACCTACAAACTCACGATGTGGGATGTCGAGGGGACCAGTTTTCGTCCGTGTGTGCTAATGTCTTTTTTTTACACCCACATGCACTTACCAATAGATTCGTGTTCTGATGTGTTCCGTTGCGCGGAAAACGATGGTACGAAGTGTTTTCGCGTATGCAGTTACCAAACCTTTAGGTGGTCCGTTGGAGTACCCCATGGGGTATTTTTAAAAAGAGTGATACAATTTCCGTATTTGGCATTTTGTTCGTGCACAATTGTCGATTCTCGGCTCCCCATGATCCCAAATCGGAATCGGACTGTAGTTAATCGATTTGTTCCCCACCAACTGATAACTGATGACCAATTTGACGGGTAACAGCAAATTGATAACAGATTTCAATTTTCCGTCAACCCCGTGCATGAGATGATGCTTGTGCTTGCCAGTAGTGAGTAAAGCGGAACCCGATCTAAAACAAACGTATGTCGTTTTTGATAGTGTACTGCCATTGTGGTTCCATCCATCATCTTCACTCCACAGTGTTATTTACCTTCACATTTAATTACACATGTTGGTGGAATTCGGTAAATTGAGTACGCAAATCAGGTCAAGTTAGGAAATGCTGAGTGGTGGATTTTCAGAGTGATTCGCAAGTGACTGCAGCGAGGAAGTAATATATGAATAGAGATGAAATCAAATGCTAAGGTTAACATAAAAGGCAGCCTACCTGGTTAGCCATGATGGGTATGCGGTTGACCAAGATACACACTAACCAGGGAACAATACTGTCGTAATATGTGAATTCGCTGGCGGGGACAAGTTTGAATAGTTAACGTGTATGGTAATCGGAGACAGCTTTGGGGATTTCGTTGTATACAAGTAGTCAACAGTGACAAAAGAAATGAGATGGTGGTGGTGGTGGTGCAGTGGTTTAATCTCTGTCAACGGCGTGCTTTGAACCATATAGTTCGACGTTCTGACGCCACCCAAACGTGGTGGTGGACAGCTTTGTTGTCGTCCGGTTCAATGCCACACCTAACCTAGAAGGGCCTTATCTGGTTCGCCACCGCAAGTTCCGGGGCCTAGGTTGCCGGTTTCCATCACTGAATAGCAGGTCTACGTGACCATGGGGATTACCCCCTCTGTTGTTTGTCACACCAAGGTGTGTAATAAAAATAACTGGTCACGTGCATCAAAAAAGTTATCAGTTATTAACAAAGTCATTAGGTAAACTACCACCGGATCCGAATAAGAATTTCAGAGACCTGAAAAAAGTAAAACATTTATCTCTGAGCCACGGGAAACTGATAAAAAGCAATACAACCAGTGAGACATGACACAGATGTCGAGGAATGCACGTATTTGGCATTGAGCGAGACCAAGTTTTTCAAGTCGAGACAACAGGCCCCAACTGAATGTTGTGAATTGGTCATCATACCGATTTACAAGAAAGGTGACGGATCCTCTTGTGAAGACCATATATGAATTATTTTGATCAACATTGTCTCTTAATTTCTCGCTGGTATTATACTCCGTCGACTGTCTGAACGGTGCACGTGTGAGAATCAGACCGGTTTTAAACTTAATCGAGGCTGTATGGACCACATATTCACTCTTCGTCAAATTCTAGAACACAAGCACTCCTTCCCTAGACCCACTAGTTCTACCTTTCCCGTTATGAAAGCGGCTTTCGACTCAGTCGGCCGCTGAAACCTCCGTCGCTGTCTCTCTTTGTAGGTGTGCCCAACAAGTTTATTTCAATTTCGTGATCTCTTTATACTAATAACCAAAACCGAGACCAAGCTTGCGGCGCTTTTCGCCCGAGTAATGTTCGTCAGGCTAGTCCTCTCTCTCCTTTTCTGTTTAACTTTGTTATAGATTTGATTATGGAAACAGCCCTATTCTCGTGCGACGGTAGTGGCATCGATTTACTCCCAGGTGGCAGACTGTCTGATCTAGAGTATGCAGATGACGTGCTGCTAAATGAAGATACAAGTTGCAAGTTTTTCTTAATAGCCTGAGTGCGAGGGTAGCCATGTTCGGTATGCGTCGTGCACCTTCAAAGTGTAAAATGCTGCTGCAAGATTGATTCATCCCAACCCCTAACCTCACCCTGACTGGGGAAGTGATAGATGAGGTACACTACTCTTGATATTTGGACAGCTATATCTCACATGGCGGAGGCGTCACAAAGGAACTGTTGGCACAGCTACAAAACGCTCGATTGGCATTAGCCAATTTGAGACATTTGTGGTGCCGACGCGATATCCGGCTATCTGTGAAGAGTGGAGTGTATACTGCAGTAGTTCGGCCAGCCCTGCTGTACAGTGCGAAGACGTGGTCATTACAGGAGAAGGATAAAAATAGATTGTCGGTGTTCAAAAATCGCTGTGCACGCGGCATCACACTAATCTAGAGGGGAAACCGGACAAGCAATGCTGAGGTTAGGCGTAGAGTTTTAGGTAATTGCGGTCGTCCACTCTAGCAAGTGTTGGACCTCCATTAGTTACACTGATTGGGGCATGTATTGCGCACGTCACGAAATAGATTGCCACGGAGCGTGATGTTTGCCGAGACAAGTGGTGGTTGGAAAAATGTCAAGGATAATCAAACAAAAACCTGGCACGAGGGTATTGAAACCCTAACCAGAGGACTCGATTATGTAGGTCGCGTTAGGCTCTTCGGATGGGGACCTAGAAATCATGGTCACCAGTTGCTAGAGACACTGAGTGATATGACTGGATGTCACAAACACTGTCGCTTGTGCATCTACTCATTATCTCTTTAATCGTAGTCCATGTGAATTATTTACCTTCCGCTTGAATCTACTCTCAACATTCCAGTCTTCATTCTGCTGTTTTATCCAAATGGGCAACAAAAAGACAGTAACCTAAACCGGCGCACGAAAATGCATGGTTAATGGTTGTAAAAACTGATACAGATTTTTTAGCTATACGATCATTCAAGCATGTCGTCACATTTTTTGAATGACCGCACTCGCCCCCTCCCCAATGGAAACTAACCAGTACAGTTCCATGTTCCATTAAAGCCGAAAGAAAAAGCTCCAAAAATGTTTTGTTACAATTGTTCTTATTTCTATTTATTTTTGTTTCCGGAAATTCTCAGTAAAAAAAAATTAAATTTTCGTTGTCATCCTCTTCATGACGTTTATGTACGCTCCAAATCTTGTCATCAAGGGCTCCAATCTCAAGGCCGAAAGTACAATTATCATTTCACTCGATTTTGGGGAGAATCAAGAGAAGGTAGTTTCCAAAGTTGGAACGAAACTAACATATTTCCCAGTGATCTGGACTCCGATCATGTGCTAACCAGATCATGTTACACGCACTTTTCGTGACTGAGTGAATAATCCGGCGTTTATCTCAGTTGGAGTCAAACAATGTGTTTTCGGTAGAGATCAGCTTTCAGTCTTTAGCTGGAGGGCTGGGGGGAGCCCTAGCCTACAAGAGAAGGGAATAATGTATGAGGAATGCTGTTTGTTGGAGACGGCAGACAGATTTTACGTGTCCGTCAGACATTGTTTTAGTTCTCCAGTCTGTGCAATTAGGCCGGTGATCTTCACGACGAGAATATTATAAAGGTGGTTCTTAAACCTCCTCTCGGAGCTCCAAAATTAGATTTATGCAGCTTCCTAAAGAAACACGCATTTCATCTCTCATCAGTTCGACAGTGGTGCATATTCAAAATTCGCCCTCACTCGAGTAAGACAAACTGGGAATCGGTGAGGCGTTCTCGGTGGATGCTCTAACAGTCACTACACAAAAGGTATGTTTTAGGGGAGGGGGAATAGTCTTCTCTAACCCTGAAGAGGAGAACTGACAGTTGGCCAACCAAACCTCCATATGGAAAACTTCCAGTAAAATCGGTAGAATTTGACTCCGAAATCGCTCATATTCCTGATGTTTTCTCACAATACATGTGTTGTAATTTTCCCTTTAGATTAGTATTCTGGTCCTGACAGTTTACTTTTGTGTGTGGGAAACGGGACGATATTTTCTTTCCAACTTGATCCTTTTCTCGTTTTGACCAATTTCATTCAGAGATGGTTAGGACGTCAACGAGCCGATCCATTTGTGCGTCGCGCTAGGCTGGAAAGTTTCCGATGTCGCAGTGCATTCAAACTGATCCAGCTTCACGAAGGTGTCCCCGGTGGTCTGATACATCCAGGTGATGTGGTTCTTGACTGTGGTGCCGCCCCCGGTTCATGGACTCAGGTAGCTACTGCATTCTCGGCCGGCCCACCTGCTGGCCTGGTTATCGCGTTCGATTTGCTCGACTTTTCACCCGTTCCCGGGGCTCACTGCTATCCGCAAACGGATGTTCTTGATTGGGAAAAATGTGCTCGTCTAGTGGATCAGGCTATCGCGGCCCACAAGGATCGTGGATCCGCATCAAACTCCGACACGCAATTGATGACTGAGTCTGTCGGAGTAAATGTTGTGCTGAGTGATATGGCTCCGAATGCTTCGGGGATAAGAGAAATCGATATCCCGGCTATGATGAACTTGGCGTCAGCGGTGTTACAGGTAAGAAGTTCACTAGACAAGTACACAGTGCCTGAACAGTTTGGTTTTAGTAAGTTTCGAATGCGGCTTGGGTTCATTTCGTTTCAAACGAGGCTTAACCGTGTATTGCAGCGCTTTGCTTTTGGGTACAATTGGTTGGTGCGCATACCGATAATGTACAGGTGTTGATGTTCAGCCGAGGCTGTCAAACTCCAGAGAAAAATACGATTGACTGATACGTGATTGACGATTTGCAGATCCTAATAGCATCAATGTTTTCAACCTTCTAATGCACTGCAATCTCGATGCTGGAAGAAATGTCATCAATAAGTGTTAAGTTAAATTGCACTGAATGAGGGGATCGGAACATTGTATTTGATTCTTGAAACCGGAGTTGGACAACTGGAGAGTATTATTTTATTGATGAAATTAGCTTGTCTTGGCCACGACGAACGAAAAAACCAAAACACAAGACGTTGATGACAACGTTTCGACCCTTTTGGAAGGCCTTTTTCAAGTTGTTTAATCGGTTACTATCACGTTACAAACAATTATAAAGCGATGGGATGACGGCATGGTATAGAATTCTGATGTGATTGGAGCATAGGTGTGTGTTTGCTAGTGTTCGTTCGACGGGTGGTTGGGTCGAGTGAAATTGGTTTCACCTTTAGGTCAAAACGTGTGAATTGATCATTTGGTATCGATTATTGCCATAACTGTAGAATGACTGACCCATACGGTCGATTGATTGCCCTTAGGTTCAGCGCTGATCAGGAGCGCTTCGGCTACCGAACGCTCCTTGTGACTTCTGAACCTACGCTTTCGAATATTCGAGTTTTCGAAATCAACTGCATCTCCTTCGCA